TTAAAAAAAAAAGAGTTTTATGACTATGAAAATAGAGAAATTAACAGAAAATACAAATAACATAAACATAGCCAGCTTTTGAAATAGAAGTTTTGACACCTGTCATAGCTGGCTGGTTTGTGATGATTTCAGATATATTAAACACACACACACACACACACACACACACACACACATTATATAATAAACACCACAGTCAAATTAATGAACACATCCTTCACCACACATACTTGCCAGTTTTGTGTTTTTGTGCAATGAGGACCCTTAAGATCTACTCCCTTAGCAAATTTCAAGTAAACAATAATAGTATTATGAACTATAGTCATGGTGCTGTTCACTAGATCCCCAGAACTGATTCATCTTATAACTGAAAGCTTGTATCATTTAACCAACGTTTTCCCATTTCCCCCATTGGGATTGCCATTTCCCCCCTGGCAATCACCATTTTACTCTCTGCTTCTATGAGTTTGAAGTTTTTAGATTCTACACCTAAGTGAGATAATGCAGTATTGTAGTATTTATCTTTCTCTATCTGGCTCATTCATTTGGCATAATGTCCTCCAGGCTCATCCATGTTGTCACAAATGCCAGGATTTCCTTCTTTTTTTCCTTCGTGTGTGTGTATGTGTGTGTGTGTCTACATATATATACCACATTTTCTTCATTCATTGGTTGATGAACACTTAGGTTCTTTCTGTATCTTGGCTATTGTAAATAATGCTGCAATGAACATGGACATACATATACATGTTGAAGATACTGATTTCATTTCTTTTGGATATATACCCAGAAGTAGGATTGCTAGCTCTTATGACAGTTCTGTTTTTAGTTTTTTGAGTAACCTCCTTATTGTTTTCCACCGTGACTGTGCCAATTTACATTCCCACCAACACTGTATATATAACTATTCACTTTTCTATACACCCTCTCCAACACTTGTCTTTTTTTTTTTTTTTTTTTGAGACAGAGTCTCACTGTGTTGCCCAGGTAGAGTGCAGTGGCGTCATCGTGGCTCACTGCAACCTCAAACTCCTAGGCTCAAGTGATCCTCCTGCCTCAGCCTCCCAAGTAACTGGGACTATATGACATGCCTATCTTTTTTGTAACAACCATCCTAACAGGTGTGAGATGATGTCTCGTTTTGTTTTTGATTTGCATTTCCTTAATGAGTAGTGATGTTGAGGACCTTTTCATATAGCTGTTGGCCCTTTGTATGTCTTCTATGGAAAAATGCCCATTCAGGTTCTTTTCCCATTTTTAAATCAGTTTATTTATTTATTTATTTATTTTGCTGTGAGTTGTAGTTTTCGGGGCATCTCATCAATTTGCTGAGCATACTTCTCAAATGTAATGGTTTCAATGGGATTCAGAAAGCTGTAGTGGATTAGACCAGCAGCAGACCACCAAACAGTGACCATGCTCTTTTTCTGGTGCAAGTTTGGCTTTGGGAAGTGCTTTAGAGTTTCTTCTCATTCCAACCACTGAGCTGGTCATCGCCCGGTTATCGTATAAAATCCACTCTTCATCACACATCACAATCCGATAGAGAAACAGTTCTTTGATGTTGCATACAATAAGAGAAGATGACACTTCAAAACGACAATTTTTTTTAATTTTCAGTCATCTCACGAGGCACCCGCTTATCGAGATTTTTCACCTTTCCAATTTGCTTCCACCATATTCACCTTTTGTTACCAACATGATATGATTACTTGTGCTGATTGACAATTTGCTGATGTGCAAAAAGACATTGTGGAGGATTATGTAACAAAGAAATGACTTTGAATCAGAGTAGTGATTATAGGAAAAGATGGGTAGGTTAATAGCTTATAGATTTGTTTGATTAAGTTTCTGATTACAGGTGTTGTGGCCCAATAACTTGTGTTTTCACTCTCTTTGATATTTCCATTTTTGAAATCTTCTGTTTTTTTAGTGGCCCTGATTCTGTTTTGCCTGCCCCTACCACAAATCTATTTGGTTATGATTTCCAAACTCAAGAATGATTTTGACATTAAAAATAATCACTTACTAAGGATTTCCTACATGCCAATGTGCAGATAGAGGGAAAGCCCCTTCTAGTGCTTTTTGATTTTGAAGGGCCTGTTAATCTCTAAGAGCCTTTAATTCAAAATACCAAGGAGTCGTATTTTGGGGTGAAATTTCCTGAGCTCCTTTACTTTATTATTCCCCTTTTTATAACTAAAGTTATAGTCAGGCCTAGAGAAATTAGGTAGCATGTACAAGTAAGTAGCAGAGCTGTTTTACTCCAAAATCCTGTCTTTAATTACTAAATACTTAGCTTCTCTGAGCTTTATTTTCTCTTCTGTACATGGAAATATAATTCCTATGGCACAGCATTGTAATGATTAAATGAGGGAAAAAACATATAAAACACTTTCCACAGTACCTGACACATTATAGATTCTAGTAAGCTCTAGTCAGGCCTGCATAAGGAAAACTCATAAATTAGTTGTATCACAAATGAATATAACTAGAAAACTCTTAGATCCTGCAGGGCAGGCACAGATAAGGACAGATTGTCAAAGTGCTCAATAGGAAAAATTTTAAGGCCTGAAATTTAACCATAAGCCTAGTGGACATCACTCACCAA